TGATCTCAGTGGGATTTGCCTGGTTAAATAAAGGTTAATAAATAAATAAATAATTGATTCACCCTCTGTTGCATCTTCAGATGTTACGATGTACTGTCTGAGCTAAAAGCATGGGCGTCGCAACCATTATATGTGAAGGGGACATGTCCCCCCCCACATTAAAAAAAGTTCATTTGGACCCCCCACCCACCTACTTTTAGTATAAAGCATTAGTTCAGGCAGCGCAGTTTCTCTTTCTTCGTGAACGAATCCATTCCACTTGATTAATAGGAGAATACTCAACCACTAAAACTCCACTCCAGGTTTTCCTGGTTACCTCCAACTCTCTGAGTCTCCTGCCTCAGCAGAAAACACGCACAGGTGGAGGAGGTGGAGGTACCTAGGGCTGGGCCATATCATATCGTTCACGATAATACCGGTAAAAAAAAAAAGCTTTCCCGGGCAAAAAAAAATTATAGCATGATATGCTAATTTCATGACATAACACGTCAGGGCGCCCCGCCCCTTTAACATAACAGTGCGCGCCGAACGACCAAACCGAATTGCGCACCCCACCCTCCACCTGTCGGTACTGGCGTAATGCTAATTACTTACGCGCAATACTAGCTAGCTAAAAAGCTAAAAACAAACAACGCACGGCTCAGCTGTCTCTCCGTCCAGCTGTCTCCATCCAGCTCTAAACTGCCACTCGTCTTTTTTTTTTTTCTCTCCCCACTCCGCTCTGAACTGCCGGTGCAAACACGCGCAAGCCTGTCTCTTAGTTCCACAGTCCATGGAGCAAGAACAGAGTCAGGTGATGAAAGACAGAGCATCAGAGAAATGAATCATTCCTGCAGGAACAGAAGAAGCTGAAACGCCACAAGCTTCAGGGTCAGATGATCACCTTGTTACAAGTTCTGAAAGTTGTAGCTCATTTAAAGGCAACATATATTTTGTTGTATGTTACATTTATGCTCAGCAGATCTTAAGCTTAATTTAATTTAGTTATTTTGGGAAACTTCACCTGCACTTTAGTTTTTGTGGTGGATTTATTGATCTATATTTTATGAAGACTTTTTCAATCTAAGTAACAGAAGGCTCATTTTTATTTTTATACTTGGAGACCGAATACTTTACTAAATTAAGTAATTTCAGTAAAATTACCCTTTGTTTTTTTTTTAATTTTATATAATACTGCAAAGCAACATATTAATTTTGTCAAATACATATGATTTCTGTTTTTTTGGGGGGGTTATATCATGAAATTTATCATTCTTGTCAGAATGCTATGAAATATCACGATATTATATTTGAGCCATATCGCCCACCCCTAGAGGTACCTCTGTGTTGCTCGCTCGCCAGTTTAGCGAGCTTAGTGCGGGCAGTGTTGACTGGGGGGCTGATTATAAACGTATATACATGGTTAGGAGGATGCTTGAGTGGAGCGCTACGTCTGTATTTTTAATTTTTTAACTCTTTATTTATACAGGTAGTCTCAATGAGCCACGAGAACTCATTTTCAAGAGAGACCTGTTTAGGGAGCAGATGGGGGTTAAGGGCCTTGCTCATGGGCCCAGAGTGGGGCGAATGAGGGTGGGGGCAGGTGTGGGTGCTTCACCTACCCCACCCACATTTTTTTATGTTGTCTGTACCGGGGCTTGAACCGGCGATCTTCCGATCACAGGCCCACCTTCTCTAACCTCTGCGCCACCACTCCCCAGTATCATCTTAGCTTAGCAGTAACTGACTCTGTCAGACGCTGCAGGTGTAAGAGACGCTGTGTGTTCAGGTGCAT